ACAAATTTGAAAGACTTATCTAGCAATAGATATGTCCAATAGAATAGAATCATATATTGGTCGCTCTGAGGTGAAGGTAGTGAGATTTTAAAGTTTACTTACTTATGCTAAAAATAAATATGAAATAAATCTTGTTCTTCTGACTAAATAGACCTAGATTGGCCATATGACTTGTTTACAAGGATCTTATAGGATCAAAGCCCATGCAAGTTTTTTTTACCATGTATGTCTGGAGTCATGCTTCAAGCAAAGCCATAATGTGCTTGGGTTGGCTTTGTTTTTACATAATGTGCAAGCATATTCAATTGCAGCTTGTTGTCAATCTATGATTTTTGGATCAGCCATTTGTATGGAACAAACCATCATAGCTTTTCAAACAAACCACGATTGAAGCATGATTACTGTTATTATTACGGTACTTTCACAGTTAACTAGTCCGTCTGAATAGTGTGACATCCCTCTTTATTTATGCTAATATTTTTGCTTGATGCAAGTCAAGACTTCAGCTGTAACATTTTTATGTTTGGGATGCACTTGAAATTTTCAAGTAGGTTTTTAAAATATTCAAAATATATTTGCATTGAGAGATCTTTCTGGTTTTTTTAAAAAAAGTTGTTTCATTTTCCTGAAAAATTAAGCGAATAGCCGGCTGTATAATGAAATTTAGAATTAAAGATGACATTTTATTTTATACTGCAAGATGGGGAGGACTTAAATATGACAAATAAATAAATGAATAAATAAGATGCCCTATGTTTAGTCTTTGAATGAAGTCATATCCAAATATTATCAACATAACAATAATGGCTTTTCCCAGTGCTGCCCATTTTAAAATCCCAGCATAACTTTATTTTTTTTATCTACATGCAGCATTCATGGGCTTAATCACAAAGTTGTGATTTATGTTCTACCAGGAGGAAGTGAACATTAACTAGCAATAACCATAAGACAATAATTGCAGATGAAAGTTAAAGGGTGGTTTAAATAACTTTTCCCTTTCCCCCAATTTAAATGGGTCGGATTGTTTATTTTTTTTAACAAACTCATACATAAACCTATGCTACACATAATTTATGCTAACATGATCAATCAATCACAGCTGATTTGCACGACGCATAAGAAATAAACCATGGTTTCAAAAGTGCACTTTATAGAATCTGCTTGTTTCTACTGTAGAAAGTTAGCATCTACCCCTTCTAGAAGAATGAAATATTTTGGGAAATATTAAAAAAGGCAGAATATTATATTTCCCCAAAAGGAGAAACACGGTCTTGGAAAGCAGCCACCTTTCTTAATAGCCCCAGCAGGACTGGGCCAGCAAATCTACAAGACAAAAAAACCTTCAGCTCCAGGGTGACGGGATTAAGACATGACCCAAGGACATAATAGGGTTAGCCCTCAACCATCTAGCAGCAGAGCTCACCACATGGCACAACAAGCCCATTCATTGCATCACCCAGCAAGCTTCAACCAAGCCTGGAACTCAGACAGCCTACAAAGTTAACAGTGACCCTCTACAACAACCAATAGAATACATTTCTTGCACAGGAACAGGAAGCTCAAGGGCTAGGCCCAACAGAGGGTATAAATAACCCTCACTCTCCACTCCATGTGGTCAGCTGCCCAGGACCTCAAACCCAGTTTAGTTCACCACTAAACATCTTTCCAATCAGCCTCCATGTTTCCAGTGTTTTTCTCCCCACTTGGAACTGAACCAGACGGCCTTTTCTTCTAACGCTGCTAAAATCTACGCTATAATTCATGGCTACACATCATCTGATCTCTTCCTAATGAGAGATTATTATTCCTAATAATAACATTGTCAAGAACTGTTTTGTCGGAATAACACTGGGAGGGAAGAGACATAAGACTGCTGGACCAAAACCACTGTGGATTAGGCTGAAGCCAAAGCAAATAGGAAAAAATGTTATTTAGCTTTCAATGGTCATATTTTTCTGATGTCTTTTCTCCTCTCTCTCTCTTTCTTTTGACCAGCAGATAACTGGGAAAAATATCTCGCCAGAAACCTGCTTGTAGTAACTATATAGTCCAGTGTTCCTTAATCTCAGCAATTTTAAATTGTATGGACTTCGACTCCCAGAATTCAGCAAAATGATAAAGGTCCTGCACAAAATCAGAAACGTTCCTTCTCAATTACTTCTGAAGTGAGCACAACCCTAACATAATTCTTCCTTAGCCTGAAACTTAGCCAAGTCTTATCAACCTTGATTGGCAGATCCCCAGTGTCACAGATGGAAGTTTTTCATATCACCTGCTACCTTAATTCTTTTTAAACTAGAGATTCTGGGAGTTTCGTTCTGGAATCATGCCCGTGCCAAGCAGGTGCTTTGAGCTGTGGCCAATCTGCAATAAAATTCGAAGACTGAAATCTGACAGACAATATCTTGATGTGCGTAAATTGGCAGGATAAACCTAGGAATGGTTATACGCACTATTTGCATGGGACTACTAAGACTACATACACAAAAACACCCACGCTGCCAAATAAAACAGCAGGATGTAAAATTGAAATTTGTTTCCCGTGTAAGGAGGACTTCGATCTTCCATAATATAAATGTAAATCTATATAAATTTTAGGTTGGGAATTTGGGAATGGAATTAAAGATATATCCAGGACATATTGCCCTCAACACACATCTGTATCTATGAAAATCTTTCTACAGTATCAGGAAAAGTTTAAAAATGGCAGAGGACCTCAAAACAAGTAATCCTCAACTTACAACAGTTCATTTAAGGACCATTCGAAGTTACAACAGCACTGGAAAAAATGACTTATCACCGTTTTTCACACTTATGACCTTTGTAGCATCCCGACGATCATGTGATCAAAAAAAAATCAGACACTTGGCAACCGATTCATATTTATGACGGTTGTAGTGTCCTGGGGTCACATGATCCCCTTTTGTGACCTTCTGACAAGCGAAGTCAATGGGGAAGACAGATTCCCTTAATCACCACGTTACCAGCTGCAGTGATTCACTTAATAAATGTGGCAAGCTAGGTTGTAAAATGGGGCAAAACTCACTTAACAACTCACAATTAGCAACAGAAATGTTGGGTTCAATTGTGGTCATAAGTCAAGAACTCCCTGTACTACATTTAATAGTGACTGGAAATCCTTCTGAACTTTTTGCTGAAAAACATGGAATGTATGATTTAGGAATTTCCTGATTAAAAGGGTAGATTATGGAAAGAAACTTATATGGAACCTTAAAGAGATAAGAATTAAATATAAATGTACATATTATTGCTGTTAAGATTAGAAACTACTTATTCATTATTCTTTCCCCCCTTTTTTCCTACTTCTTTTTACTGAACAAACTTTCCTTTTTTACTTTTAATTTAATATACAAGTACAAATTAATTTGATGAATGTATTTTATTTTTTTCTTTATGTACATTGAGAGCTTATGCACCAAAGACAAATTCCTTGTGTGTCCTATCACACTTGGCCAATAAAGAATTCTATTCTATTCTATTCTATTCTATTCTATTCTATTCTATTCTTTTCTATTCTATTCTCTTCTCTTCTCTTCCATTCTATTCTTATTCCTATTCTATTCTTTTCTATTCTAATGAAACGGACGATAGATAGAACCAGCTCGTTCTCTTCCTGAAGTTTTCCTAGTAATGCTAAAGAAGTGATTTCCTATGTCTATTCTGAAAAATTTTCTTACAATCTTTTCCTGCCTCCCTGGCATTTCCCCGTGGTCTCTCGTTCAAATACAAAACAGATCAGATTCTTCTAGAGATCAGCCAACTTTGTGCCAGAGGCCTCAGGGCATGATTAAAAATGGATGGGAATTCTCTGAAGGAACCTTGCAGCCTGAACATCAAAAGTATATCTTTATCTCAGGAAACTCCCTTTAGGACTGCAGCAACTGGTGGAAAAACCATGTCTTTGCTTCATACAATGTGAACGATGCGCTCCTGTTCACACATTCCACATTTCGACCATTTTTAAAATACCTGTAGTCCTCCACTTATGAACGGTTCATTTAGTGACCAAAGTTACATAAAGCATTAAAAAAGTGACTTGTGACGCTTTTTCACAATTACGACCAACGGAGCAGCCCCATGATCCAGCTGATCAAAACGCAGACACTTGGCAATTGACTCATATTTATGATGGTTGCAGCATCCCCAGGATTATGTGATCCCCTTTTGTGACCTTCTGACAAGCCACAGTCAATGGGGAAGCCAGATTCACTTAACAACCATGTTACCAACTCAGCAATCACAATGATTCACTTAACGACTGTGGCGAGAAGAGTTGTAAAAAGGAGGCAAAATCCACTTCGCTGCCTCGCTTAACAACATAAATGTTGGGCGGGCTTAGTTGTGGTCGTTAAAGTCGAGGACTACCTGCAGTGGGGGGGGAAAAAGACACCAAAGCACCCACGGAAGGGAACGGTCCACGAGAGATTTCCCCTCCCGCTCCCACCCCTCAGGAATGCCGGTGACGTCATCGCCCATGATAGAAGATGCGGGGGAGGGAGGGGGGAAGAAGACCGGGCGGAGGAAAAGGAAAAAAAAAAAAACGCAGCGCCCCTCGACCGATTGCGTCACCGCATTCTTCCTTGTGACGCAGCACCGGCTGGGCGGCGGCGAGGAAAAGGGGCGTGGCGCGGGGGGGAAAAAAAAAAAAGCATGACGGTACATCACGTGCAAGGGGCGTCAGGGGTGTGTGGCCCCGCCACCTCCACCCCACTCTCTGCTCTCAAGGTGGAGCGCGTCACGTGGCATAGATTTTTTTTAAAAAAAGAGAGAGACAGGCCCCGTTTAAAGAGAATGGTGTCTGTCACGTGATCCGGGCGTCCCGGAAAGACCTCGGAGGCGGCTTCTTCGGCGGCCATTTTCCCGCGCGTGTGGCGTCGGCGTCTGAGGGGGATTGGGAAAAGGCGACGCCCCCTCGGGCGGGAGCGGAGGCGGCCTTCTCCCGGGTGATAAGCCCGGCCCTTCCGGAAGGCGGAGCTCGCAGCCGGGCGTCTAAGGGCTGGGTGGCGGCGTGAGGGCCGGTCGGCCGGGGCTGCCCGCCCTCCTTTTTTCCTCCACCTCCCTCCTCCCTCCTCCTCCTCCTTTCCTCTTTCCCATCCCCGCTTCCCCGCCAGGATCAGCCGCGGCCGCGCAAGGGAGCTGGGCAACCATGTCGGGGCAGAGCCTGACCGATCGCATCACGGCGGCGCAGCACAGCGTGACGGGCTCGGCCGTCTCGAAGACCGTCTGTAAGGCCACCACGCACGAGGTGATGGGCCCCAAGAAGAAGCACCTCGACTGTGAGTCCGACGCCGCCGCCGCCGCCTCCCTCTTCTCGGGGCTGCCCTTTTCCCCTCCGGCCGAGCCTCCTTCACGGCTTTTCTTTCCCCCGCTTAGGGTCGGGCGGGGCGGGGCGGGGGGGAAGGAAGGGACGCCTCCTCGGCGGGCCCTTTTGGGGCGATGGAGCCCCTCTTTCCCTCAGGGCTCCTCCCGCGCCCTCGTCGCGGTGAACGACGGAGGGTGGCAAACTTTCTCAGGGCAGCCCTTGTCAAGCCCTCTGGATTTCTTTTCCTCCCTTCCTATCCGCCTTCTCTTTCATTCCCCCCCCCCCCCTCAAACTCTTGAAGGAATTTGCCTTGGAAAAAGCGTAGCGTTCCTGTTTGATTTGGCCGCGAGGAATGAGGCCCTTTCGTTAAGGCATTATTTCAAAATAATAATTAATAATAATGATGATGATGATGTACTTGGTTGATACCTAGGATGCCGTATCAACCATTGGCACCAGTCAGTGGTATTTGTGATGCATTTTTGAATGTTCAGTTGAGTTTCACGGTTAATGAAGTAAATCATCATCATCATCTTACCTACATTGATACCTAAGATGCTAGCATCAATCCATTAGTGCCAGTCAGTCATATTTGTGATACATTTTTCAATGTTCAGTTGACTGAGTTTCAGGTTTAATGAATAAAAGTTTGTGTAATAAAATGTTCAGTTGATTTTCATGTTTAATTAATCAAAGTATAATTATCATGAAGTAATGATATTTGTGATACGTTTTTTAAATGTTCAGTTGACAGTTTCACGTTTAATGAATAAAAGAATAATAAAAAGCCCTTTAAAACAATTCAGCACCATTAGGCTGATTAAGTCCCTTTCTGATGCCAAGCTGTTCCTTGAGCTTTCTGTGGGTTTTCCTTCCCTGCTTGACGGGGCTGCCTTTTAATTTTGGCTTTTAAATGAATTTTCCCTGTGCTTTCCTCCCCTCTTCTCCTCCTTAATGTCTGAAATCTGCATTTTTGTGGCAGCTTCTGCCACAGAGTTTGTAACTTAATCCTGCACCACCACCTCTGAGTTTTAACTGATTCAGAAGTTTTACCTCCTTTCAACTGTTCTTTTGATCTATTTGTAGGTATGCAGGTGTGGTCCTTGACTTATAACAGTTTGTTTAATGACTGTTTGAAGTTTACAACGGCACTGAAAGAAGTGACTTATCACTGTTTTTCACCCTGAACCACCACCGTGGTGTCCCCATGGTTATGGGATTAAAATTCACAAAAACACTTGACAACTGACTCTTATTTATGATGGTTGTTGTATCTCGGGGTCATGTGATCCCCTTTTGTAGCCTTCAGACAAGTAAAGTCAACTGGGAAGCCAGTTTGACTTAACAACCATGTGACTAACTTAACAACTGCACTGATTCACTTAATGGTAGCAAGAAAAGTAGTAAAATGGATCAAAATTCACTTAACAGAAATTTTGGGCTTGATTGAGGTCATAAGTTGAGGATCACCTTTACAGAGTTACCTGACTGCGAGATGGGCTGCCTATAAATTTAATAAATATTGTGGGAAGTTTAACCATTCTTTCCCTCCCTTCCACAATTTTAGTTTAGTCTTGGTTGTTTGTGAAAGTTGAGAAGCTGAAACCACTTTTCTGGTTTTGCCCTGGTCCCGCCTTCCGCACAATAGGTATAAATTTCAATTGGGTGTCTCTAACTCTTAACTGCAAAGGCAGTATAAATGATAATTTAAAATTTAAGAGATTAAGCAGTAGTAGTAGGAAGCCAACAGTAGTAATTCTTCACCTATTAGCAAGACTTTTGCTTTCCTCTGAATTGAATATTTTACTGAAATATTTAGTAGTTTTTAATGAAGTCATGTGGAGGGATTTGGTCTATGTATTGGGTATCCATTAACAATGAGAGGAAGGCTTTTTGACGTTGTGTGATGATCCTTGTTGTTGCCTGTATTGCCCCTCAAGAGTTTTAATACAAAAATGTCTTTGTTTCCCTTTTCATGCCATTTCATAACCTAGGCTGCATTGCAACATTATGATAATTTCATTTACAGCACTCTCAATTTAACAAGTGATACTAGATAGATTTAAGGGCTTCTTCCTGTTAATATGTGGGATCTGCTAAATGGGTTACATGTGACAGGGAAAGCTAACATTCAGTAAAACCACAGTTTATTGACTGACTTTTCTGGCTTAAAATTGGGACCATGGCTGTCACAAACTTGCATGAAATTGCCTTGTGGTGTTACATAAAGTAGATCTTTGATTCTGAGAACTTAATTGTAATTCTGAACCATCTCTCCAGCATTTTTTGCTCAATTTTTAATCTAGATCAAACTTGAATGATTTCATATGATTAATTTTCCACAGATTCCATGTCTGTTCATTATAGTTCAATGACCCCAAACATGTTATTTCCTTCACTTTCTTTTGGTTCCTTGCTCCATATAAAATGTCTGAAAAATGAGGAGAAATAGCATTTCTGGCAAATAAAATATTTTGACCTGTTTCAGGGTTTAAAAAAATATTTATTAGATATAATTGTTAGTAAATGTTCTTAGGTGTTGGCTTAAAGTAGTGTTTCGCAACCTCAGCAACTTCAAAATGTGTGGATTTCAATTCCCAGAATTCCCTAGCCTGCAAGGCTGACTGAGGAATTCTGGGAGTGGAAACCTGCACATCTTTTTGCTGAGGTCAAAAAACACTGCTTTAAATAATTATTGGAAAAGTCTGTTACCATTGTGTACTTTCGTGTGGGACTTAAGAATCTCAGTTTTATGTACACTTGAACACTAGGCACATTTTCTGAAAAGAAAGCACTCAATACCTGTGTTGAACACAGTTCTTTAGTCAGAAAGAGCTGAGGGTTTTTTTTTCCTGCACTACCTTCATTATTTTGAACCATAATTTAGAGCTTTTTGCCTTGAGAAGAATACATTGATTGCTCTCCTCAGGATCCAGTGATAGGGAACTGAGCCTAATGTTTTGTGTTTGACTAATTCATTAAGGTAGCAAAGAAGCAAATTTTGCTGTAGCTAGGAATAATGAAAGCAATCACTTCAGATTTCTTACATGCCACAATATTTATGAGGAAGGCTAGATTTTGTTAATGCATGTGGTCTTACAACCCTACGTAATGCCAGAAAGGAACTTTCAGCTAAGTCAGATTGGCAAGCAAGTTAATAGAACAGTCGGACCTTTACCATATAATTTGGCCTATTGAAGCATTGAAAGCTATTTCTGCCATTTATTCAAGATGCAGTTACATATATCTTCTAAAGATTTGGATTTCTTGTTTTTAATCTGCCAAGTGGTTCTATTCTTAAGAAAGAGTTCAGAATGCTTAGCCCCTTAATCCCCATTGAACTGTTCCCACCTATCATCCATAACTAACTGATGAACATAATATAGTTGGAAGGGATTTTCTAGTCCAACCCCCTATTCAAACAGGAAACCATCGCAGACAAATGGTTGTCTAATTTCTTCTTAAAAACTTCCAGTGATGGAGCACCCACAACTTCTGAAGGCAAGCCATTCCACTGGTTCATTGTTCTCACTGTCAGGAAATTTATCTTTAGTTCTAGGTTGGTTCACTAGACATACCCAATTCTTGCACCCATTCCTGCAATTGGGCTAATAAGGTCTTGGCTACTTTATTATATAAACAAAAGCCTGGATTCAACATTTTCTCTGCTAAACTTTAGATATAATTTTCAGCTTTATGCCTTATCACTTCCCAAGCTAATATGGTATAGTGGTCGAAGTATCATAGAGAAAGTTTGAGTTGTTCACTGTAACAGAAGTTGTGTTCTTACATTAATTACAATGGGGAAAATCTAGGGTTTTTTTTTTAACATAGGTTAAATTTATGCTGCGTCTATAAGATTCAGGGAGAAAACACCTGGAATTTTGAGTGCTGCAGCCTTCAAATGCTTGATTGCATCTGTCCTTCCTGTGATTTGCCTAGTTGTTTTCTGTGAGCAGCATCTGTATACTAAATCCTTTAACTGACATTTATTTGACACTAGGAACACTGCAGCTTCCCAGTAATGCTTTTACCATACACTCTGCTGTCTCTTTGGAATCCCAGGGCTGAAAAATCCCCTGCTATGCTATTTTATAATTCCCAACACTCATTCTTTTTTTTAATAACTCAACTCATTAATATAATAAACATAACTATAGCGGCTCTGTATGCTCACATTATTGTAATCTCAGTTATAATTGTCTTGTGGGTTGGACTTGAACAAAATCTCAGTCTGGACATGATAATCTCATGGAGACAGGGCTGTAGGAGATGACCAGGTGGAGCCTGAGGGAGGGGTCAAGCACATTATCAGTCTCAAGGCCTTTCTACCCACATGAGATCTAAGTCCAGATAACCTTGAATTCTTTTGATTCTTATCTAGTGCCAATTTTTTTTGACTATTAGTTCAGATTCCTGTGTGTTGCCAATAAACCTGTTTTTATTTGAACCTGCCTTGGTTCCTGATTTCCTGTGCTTGACAGAGGCTTTGGCTGAGACAATTGCATTGGCAAGATCCTACCATTTGTCTCACAGGGCTTTTCTACAATGAAGGCCAGATTTGAACCGTGCAATTTGGTTGCAGCTGCTGAAGTCTAGATGGATTGTATAAAGTGAGACCTCACACTAAAGTGTGCAGAATGATTCTGAAGTTATCATTTTCCATTTAGTGATTCTGAAGCTTTCTAGAAGGCTTATAAAAACTGTTGTGCATTTTTAAGCAGCTTTCAGAGTTTCATGATGGTTTTGGGCTTGAAGATGCCAGCATGTACTTTAGCCAAAATGCCGCCTCACTGGTGAGATCTTAATTATTCTTGTATTTATTACAGGTAGTCCTTGATTTACAACCACAATTGACCCCAAAATTTCTATAGCCTAGCAAATTTTGCCCAATTTCACAACCTCTCTTGCCACAGTTAAGTTTGTAACATCATTGTTAAATGAATCTGGCTTCCCCATTGACTTTGCTTGTCA